CCGAGGCAGGCAGATTACCTGAGGTCAGGAGTTCGAGACCAGCCTGACCAACATAGTGAAACCCGTCTCTACTAAAAATACAAAATTAGCCAGGCGTGGTGGTACATGCCTGTAATCCCAGCTACTCAGGAGGCTGAGACAGGAGAATTGCTTGAACATGGGAGGCGGAGGTCACAGTGAGCCGAGATGGTGCCATTGCACTGCAGCCTGGGCAACAAGAGCAAAACTCCGTCACAGAAAAAAAAAGAAAAGAAAAGGAAAAAAAACAAAGAAGAAACTGATATAAAATTTAGTGATGGTCACTGCTTCTGTTCAAATACTCCTGGTTCACCAGCACAGTGGCTCATACCTATAATTCCAGCACTTTGGGAGGATGAGGTGGGCAGATCGCTTGAGCCCAAGAGTTCAAGACCAGCCTGAGCGACATGGTGAAACCCCATCTCCACAAAAAAATCAAAACTTAGCAGGGTGTGGTGGCATGCACCATTACACTCCAGCCTGGGCAGTGGGAGTAAAACTCTTTTTCAAAACAACAAAAAAAAACACACAAACACTCCTGGTTCTCCCTCTTCCAAGGTCACTGCCCTCCTTGAAGGTCAACACGGCCACATGATTTGCTGTGGCCAAAGAAATGGCAGCAAAAATGACAAAGCTCACTTCTGGGCAAAACTTTAAGAGCCTGAATGTGGTTCTTCACAAGATTCCCTCCTCATGTAGGTATATTTCAGAGACGATGCCTCAATCAGCCTGGATCCCTAAAGGACTCCAATCTACAGAGCCTCCCACTGACCGGAAAGTGTGTTAAATTACTGAGATTTTGTGGTTGTTACCTCAACCTAACCTACTCTATCCTGTCTATGAAATGCAGATTTCTGGCACAATAGCATTTAGAATCCTAAGCAGATGCATACGAAATCATCCTTCTACTTCCCAAGGGTATACACATAATCAAACTAACAGGTGGAATTATAAAACCATATAAACACCTTAGAATGGTTGAGTGGGTGACTAAAACAAAAGGAAATGGAGAGAAAAGGAATGAGCATAAAGGGGAAAAGAAAAGGAAAAGACGTAAAAAGTTTGATTAAACCCATTGTGCAAATATTAGAAATTTCATTCACTCATTGATTCAACAAACATCTATGGACCTATTATGTGCCAGGAACTATTTTGGGTGTACTTACAGAGCGGTGAGTCAAAAAAAGGCAGTGCTGTGCTTAAGGTTTATAGTGTACAGGAGAGACAAATGTTAAGAACACCCCAGTAAAAAATTACAATGATCAAGTCTTATTAAAAGCTCAGGTGAGTGCCAGGCACAGCAGTGGCCACCTGTAGTCCCAGCTACTCAAGAGGCTGAGGTGGGAGCATCACTGGAGTCCAGGAGTTCAAGAACCAGTCTGGGCAACATAGTGAGACCCCCGTATCAAAAAAAAAAAAAAAAAAAAAAAGCTCAGGTGACATGACAAAGAGGGACCACTTAGGCAAATAGGTGAAGACTGCTTCCTGCCTACCTAGGGAAGGAGGGGTGATTCATTCCAGGCAAAGGGAACAGCATGTACAGAGGCCTGCAGTGAGTATGGACCACCCCATAGAGGAAGTGAAAGAGGACTAGAGTGGTGGAAGAAAGGAGTGGCAGGAAATGTGGTCAAAGAGACTGGTAGGAGGGGGCAGTGGGAACAACAGGCAGATCACTTAGTCTCATAGTGTAATATAAGGAGTTTAGATTTTGTATAACTGCAATAGAACCAGAAAAACATTTTAAACAGAGGAATAATATTATTTTATTCTAACACTTAAGACCCTAGTAATATGCTCACATGTTTTTGCAAAATATGCAAAAGAAAGCTATTTTTGCATGATTTTTCTTTGAGGACCCCTACAACTTCAGGTCCCATATTACCCAACTCCATCTCTGAGTTGGGTAAGGGCTATGTTAGAGGTAAGCAAAAGATGCCAAGTGAAAAGTAACCTTGCCAATTTGGTACCAAGAGTTATTTACTGTCAAAATGGATTTTCTTCTTCTTTAGTTCACGTTGTCTGATAACATTCAAAATTGTGCCCTGGTCTAATCACAGAAATCATGAAAGCAACGGAATTCTTTCTGCTGGTAGCCCAAGATAGGGGACATTTTGCTTGAGAAACACTGTCAGAAGTGAAAGATGAAGATGTGTAAAGCTTTCCCTCTCATTTGTGCTACGAAATATAGGGAAACAGTCCCTGTTTATCTGGGGCAGTCTACACAAAGATGCCTCCTATTGTAACACAGCAATGAGTCAGAGGTAGATGCAGATGGTACAAAAAACTAAACTAGGGAGAGGTGATTGTCCAGAAGCAAAGGTATCTTAACACACAATCCACCACCATGAATGAAAATCACCTTCCAGTTTCCTTCAGTCCAACACTTAGGCAGTAACAAAGGCACCAGCAGCCAACAGCTTTGGAAGGTTTACTATGTACTACCTCATTTAATCTTCACAGCTATGCTAAGTAGATTCTATTAGCCCCATTTTTGCAGATGAAAAAACTAAACCTAAGCCTTAGACTAAAAGACTTGAAGTAGGTCACAAAACCACAACAGAGGCCAGGCTGTAATCCCAAAACTTTGGGAGGCTGAGGTGGGAGGATCACCAGGTTAGGAGTTTGAGACCAGCCTGAGCAACATGGTAAAATCCTGTCTCTATTAAAATACAAAAATTAGCAGGGTAGGGTGGCGCGTGCCTGCAGTCCCAGTTACTCAGGAGGCTGAAACAGGAGAATTGCTTGAACCCAGGAGGTGGAGGTTGCGGTGAGCCGAGATCGCACCACTGCACTCTGGCCTGGGTAACAGAGAGAGACTCTGTCAAAAAAACAAACAAACAAAAACCCACAACAGAGCTAGGCTTCAAACTTAGCCTGACTCCAGAGCACCTACCTTTTAACCACTGTTTAGACCCTCCCAGTCCCATCCAAATTTTTCTGCCACCAAATCTGGGGTAGTTTCTTCTCATCCTGCTTTTACTGTTTTAATGAAATCCCTCTTCCTTGAGAGAATACAGTTGTGGTGTCACAGTTACAACAGAATAACAGGTACTTCTACTCAGTATCCACTTCCAATCAAATAGGAAAGGATAATCAGGCCACAACATTCAGCCAGAATCCACTGTGGTCAAAACTTGTCCTAACAACAGTCAGGACTTTCAGTCTATTTTAAGAGGGTGAAACACTGTACACTAAAACTGAACAAATGGGCCGGGCACGGTGGCTCACGCCTATAATCCAGCACTTTCGGAGGCCGAGGCAGGCAGATCACCTGAGGCTGGGAGTTTGCCACCAGCCTGAATGACCTGGAGAAACCCAGTCTCTACTAAAAATACTAAAAATACAAAATGAGCCGGGCGTGGTGGCTACTCAGGAGGCTGAGGCAGGATAATCGCTTGAACCTGGAAGGCGAAGGTTGCAGTGAGCTGAGATCGCACCACTGCACTCCAGCCTGGGCAACAAGAGTGAAACTCCGACTCAAAAAAAAAAAAAAAAAAAATGTTTGCAATGCAATAATGCAATCCAACTACCTATACAAGTCAGTATCATGCAAAATAGACCCCACAGGATTGACAGGGGACTAAAGAAGAGAGTCGGCTGGGAGCAGGTCTGAAGAACACAGTTGAACACACACCATGGGTCCACCATCGACCTTGTGATCATTACAGGGATGGAACAAGTCATCAAGCCAACAGGTCCCCAGGTTATTAAAATCTAGAGAAAGCTGGCTGGGCAGAGTGGCTCATGCCTGTAATCCCGCACTTTGGGAGGATCGCTAGAGCCCAGGAGTTCAAGACCAGCCTAAGCAATATAGCAAGACCCTATCTGTATAAAATTTTAAAAAATAAAATTTTCTAAAAATCTAGAGAAAGGAAGGGAGGTTACAGAAATCACCAAAGAGCAGAAGGTCCAAGCCTACCCTGATTTCATCAGTTAGCTTCCTAAAGCCTGCAGTGTGCAGGTAAAAAGAGATTAAGAACCTAATCTTTACTGAAGGTTGGGCAAACAACAACTAAAAAAAGGCAAATAATAATAATAATAACCTAATCTTTTCTGGCTATTTCTCTAGCTAGCCAAGCAGCTTTCCCTCACATAGTCTTGTACCTTACCTAGAACCCAAGAGAGTTGTAGGAACTCAGAAATCCCCAGGAAACAGCCTCAAGATTATTTCATGAAATAAAGTGCTCGTTTGTGTGCAACGCTGGAAGCTGCAGAGATGGAGCACCTAGCATGTGGCTTCTAGGTCATGGTGTTCATGCCTCAGGTCAGGAGTTTAGGGGCTCCTAGTCAAGTACGGAAACCTAGGAAATCATTAGTGAGAAAATGGTTTGTTCAATGAATGAATGAATGAATGAATGAAGAGTCGGATGAAAAAGAAAGCCGCTTTCTTGAGCAATTTCCCAGGAAAGCCAAGAACCGGGAACCTCCAAAGTCGGCAAGGAAAAGCCACGAAGTCCACACGGACTTCCAGCACGCCTCCGCTGGCCAGGCAGTTGACCTGCAACAAGGCACTCAGACCCCACAGGTGTCAGGCATGAAGGTGAGGATGATGCTCCACACTTAATACCCTGAGCCAGTCTCAAAAGCACGGATGCGATCTTAATTCTTTCCAAAACAGCCTCCTCTCCCCATTACAGGCCAGACTCCCAGAGGATCACATTTAGAACAGAGCTAGGGGGAGGCAGGGGAGACGTGCTAGCTTTTATTTTCTTGGGAGAAGACTGCACAGTGGCCAGGAACCACTGAAACGGTAGGGAAAAGGGGTGCAGAGGGGAATCGAGACCCGCGGGATCCGCTAACTGGTCTGAGTCAGAAGCACAATCAGTGCTTAGTCACCGATACCTCGGCGGCCGGGAGTTCCTCGCCCCCTGCCAGTCCCAGACGTACGTGACAAACCAGAGCGGAGCCTGGCGCGCGCTCCTGCTCCCCGGCCCGGGCCTCCCCAGCCGGGCCCCGAGGTTCACCGCCCGCCCCATACTTACTCCGCAGAGCTGGTCCCGTTAACCGCGGAGCCGTCGGGGGCCGGGTTCAGCTGGATGGGCGTCGGCTTCTTCTTGGGCATTTTGGACCTGGGAAAGGCGCTTCCAACTCCGGGGGGAGGGCAGCACCTCTCGCTTCCTCCCACTGCGCTGCCCCGCGCCCGCTGCGCAGGACCAGGTCCGGGCCGCTAACCCCGGAGCTGCCCTCAGAGGGTGCGCCCCGCGCGGTCCCGTCAGCGCCGAGGGGCCGGTAGCGGTCTCAGTGGACCCCCGCCCCACCCGCCCGGGACTCGGCTCCGCACGCAGAGAGCCGAAGGGCTGCCCTGCAGGAGCGGAGCGGGCTGAATGTGCGATTCGGCAGCCCGGGATTCCCTCTCGCTCTCCCAACCAACCAGTCCCTCCGGCTCGGGCGGCCCAGCCGCGCGTGCACCAGAGCCCAGCTCCAGCTCCTGCGGGAGAAAGTGCCGCTGCCGCCGCCGTGCTCCTAGCAGCTTGGCGAAGCGGCCCTGGGAGGGACTGGAGGCCGGGGGAGGGGCGGGGAAAGGGAAGCCTCGCCCCCCACCCGGGATGCGGCGCTTTCCACATTCTCACTCGGCTCCGCCCCTATTGCCTCGCAGACAACCAATGGGGGCAAGCCTCGGCGGCAGATGACGCGGAAATACGTCACGGGAGCGCGGCGCGCCGCCCTGGGGGCGGGGTCCGTTGCGGGCTCCACGGCGCCCTCTATCGCCCCAAGGCTCGCAGGTGGACCCAGCAGGGAAGAGGTCTATGTCGCTGCGTGGTGAGCTCCTCCAGGCCAGGTGCTGCGCGGCCTCCACCTCTGCGGTAACTGGCCTGCCCCCGACCCCTGTCCCCAAGCCGAGTCGTGTTGATGGAAATGAAATAACAAAATAAATAAGGAAAAGGAACCCTTCCTGTGTTCAGAGGAGAGGCAGCGTGGAGGATAGGAAACTTGTCGAGAGACTCCTTTGAGCCCAACAAACTGTCACATATATATTTTGTTTGTTTGTTTGTTTAATAGTAATACTACTGAGAAGGGTGCAAGGAAGTGGATACTTAGTGCTGATGAGATTGTATATTCTTGCAACAGTTTTTGAGAGCAGATTGATTATTATTATTATTTTTTTTAGACTTGGGAACTTTTTTTTTTTTTTTTTTTTTTAAGATGGAGTATCCCTCAGTCGCCCAGGCTGGCATGTAGTGGCGCGATCTCGGCTCACTACAACCTCCGTCTCCCAGGTTCAAGCGATTCTCCTGCCTCAGCCTCCAGAGTAGCTGGGATTACAGGCACCTGCCGTCATGCCCGGCTACTTTTTGTATTTTTGTAGAGACGGGTTTTCACCATATTGGCATATTTTTTAAAGCTTTAAAAACACTGTTTCGGGCCAGGAGCAGTGGCTTACGCCTGTAGTCTCAATTTTGGGAGGCCCAGGCAAGAGGATCACTTGAGCCCAGGAGTTCGAGACCAGCCTGGGCAACATAGTGAGACTCTCATCTCTATTAGCTGGGCATGGTTGTGTGCAGCTGTAGTCCAAGCTACTGAGGAGGCTGAGGCTGGAGGATCACTTGAGCCCGGGAGTTTGAGGCTGCAGTGAGCTATGATCACACCACTGCACACCAGCCGGGGCTACAGAGCAAGACTTCCTATGAAAAACTTTCATCCAGGTCGGGCGCAGTGGCTCGCGCCTGTAATTCCAGAACTTTGGGAGGCCGAGGCGGGTGGATCCACGAAGTCAGGAGTTCAAGACCAGCCTGACCAAAATGGTGAAACCCCGTCTCTACTAAAAATACAAAAAAGTAGCTGGGCGTGGTGGCGGGCGCCTGTAATCCCAACTACTTGGGAGGCTGAGGCAGACAATTGCTTGAACCTGGGAGGCAGAGGTTGCAGTGATCCAAGATCGCACCACTGCACTCCAGCGTGGGCGACAGAGTGAGGCTCTGTCTCAAAAAAAAAAACACAAACAAAATAAAACAAAAAACTTTAATCCAAAAATTCCTGTTCTGTGAATTACTAAAGAAATAAAATGTGAATAAAGAACTTAATAAAATAAGAGGTACAATACCCATTCCGAAGTGCACATTCAGTGTTCCTCTTCCCCTTTTCCATCCTAAAATATTCAGGGCCAAAGACATTAGGTGTACAGAACAAAGGAACATCTACACCTGGTTGTCCACAGCCAAGTGTCAGTGACCTACCAGGTAAGGAAGCTGAGGAACCTGAGAAGGTAAAGAGGGCTTGAACGCCTGGGAGGCAGCCCTACACAAAGTCTTAGCCCTAGAGCCCAAGACCAGAGAACAAGGCATCCAAGTGGGAAAGGCCTAGAAGCTTAGATGGGAGGTTAGTTGCATTCAGAATGATTGATTAAGTCACTAAATGTATTAAACGTGACAGAGCCAGCTTTCTCACTGTGGTAGAATGAAGTTAGAAGTATGGGAAGGGAGAATACCCTATGCTATTGTATTGGAATTGGAGGTATCAGTGTGAACTCATAGTTGGTTTTGTTTTGTTTTTTGGGTTTTTGGTTGTTTTTTTTTTAAGTGGAGTTTCGCTCTTTTTGCCCAGGCTGGAGTGCAATGGCATGACCTCGGCTCATTGCAACCTCCGCATCCCGAGTTCAAGTGATTCTCCTACCTCAGCCTCCCAAGTAGCTGGGATTACAGGCATGCACCACCACGCCCAGCTAATTTTGTATTTTTAGTAGAGACGGGGTTTCACCATGTTGGCTGGTTTCAAAACTCCTGACCTCAGGTGATCCGCCCACCTTGGCCTCCCAAAATGCTGGGTTTACAGGCATGAGCCACTGCACCCGGCCTGAACTCATAGTTTTTTTTAAAATAAATTATACTGGGATGGATGATGCAGTGGTCGCTACCACCTGTAATCCCAGCACTTTGTGAGGCGGAAGCTGGAAGATCACTTGAGGTGATCTTCTAAATTACAAAAATCAGCCGGGAATGGTGGTGGGCACCTGTAATCCCAGCTACTCAGGAGGCTGAGGCAGGATAATTGCCTGAACCGGGGAGGCGGAGGTTGCAGTGAGCTGAGATCATACCACTGCACTCTAGCCTGGGCAACAGAGCGAGCAAGACTCTGTCTCAGAAATAAATAAAATAAATAAAAATAAATTTCATTGTGTGTATTTGCGGTTTATAACATGATGTTATGGGATATATATAGATAGTAAAATGGTTACTATAGTGAAATGAATTAACATATCTGTACTGTCACATAAAGGCTTGTGTAAAGTATGACAAGAGCAGCTAAAATCTACTTATTTAACAAAAAACTCAGATACAATACAACGTTATGAACTATGGTCTTCATGTTGTGCATTAGACCTCTAGACTTCTTCATCCTACGTATCTGCTGGTTTGTATTCTTTGACCTACATCTCCCCATTTCTTTTTCCCATAGTTTTTAATATAGAGGCATAGATGTAAATGTATGCATGTGTGTATAGAAGTGATTGTATCCTTATTCATGTTAAACATGCATAATTTTTAGTATCAGAGTAAAATAATAAACATTAAAAAGTTAATTGAAGGTCGGGCATGGTGGTGGCTGACACCTGTAATCCCAGCACTTTGGGAGACCGAGATGGGAGGATTACCTGAGGTCAGGAGTTCAAGACCAGCCTGGCCAACATGGTGAAACCCTGTCTTTATTAAAAATACAAAAAGTATCTGAGCGTGGTGGTGGGTGCCTGTAGTCTTAACTACTTGGGAGACTGAAGCTAGAGAATCACTGGAACCAGGAGGTGGAGGTTGCAGTGAGCCAAGATCACTCTACTGCACTCCAGCCTGTGCAACACAGTGAGACTCTGTCTCAAAAAAAAAAAAAAAATCGAAACTTTTCAAAACAATGTATTATCAAGGCACTCTATCTGAATTCTGGTATAATTTTATATTTACTAGTTCAAATAAAAACGAATAGGACTTTGAGCAATTAATTGGAATTTTCAAGGCCTCACTTCCACTCTGTGAAAAACGGAGCATTCTTTTTTAATATTGAAATATTATGATTCTACGCATGCTGGGTTGGCCTCTACTGAGTAAACCCTAAGCCCTTATCATGGTCCAAGAAGCCCAGATAAACACTTACCCCTGGTTAAAGTTTGCAGAATAGTTCAAAGTAGAAGAATTTGTTTTCCTCATTTCCTTTTCAGACCGGCAGTGATCCATCGGTTCTGTCAGCTTTTCCTGAGGGCCTAACATAAGTGCTGACCATACAGACAAGAATACGACTGAACTAAATGTATATGAATCAGTGACCACCATGTATAATAATAACTGTAACATACATATTTGGTCGAACCATATCAGGTTGCTCTATTTGTAGGTCAAAAATGTTCGAATATTGGCAAATACTGGTTCATCCCATTTGTACACAGTGTAGTTAGATCACAAACGTGAAGATCCAAGAAATATAGGCCAGGTGTGGTGGCTCACTCCTGTAATCCCAGCACTGTGGGAGGCTGAGGCAGGTGGATGAGTTGAGTCCAGGAGTTCAGTACTAGCCTGGGCAATGTGACGAAACCCCATCTCTACAAAAAATAAAAAAATTAGCCAGGCATGGTGGCACGTGCCTGCAGTCCCAGCTATTCTGGAGGCTGAGATGGGAAGATCGCTTGAACCGAAGTCGAGACTGCAGTGAGCCATGATCTTACACCCCCAACCTGGAAAACACAGAAAAAGAAATACAAGGACAACCACTGATGAAAACATACCATGAATTGAGTACATTCAACTCAGACCTCTATATCTTAGGTTCAAAAATCAAACAAAACAAAAAAACCTGAACTTGAGAGAGAAAGACCTGAGATTAATTCCAGTTCTGCCCTTGGCTGATTACTTACCCTCTCTGAGCATCAGTTAATTTACCTATAAAATGAGAATTATACTATCTACGACTGCACTAAATAGTTATGAGCATTAAATGAAATTGTGAAAGAATAGTGTCTAACACACAGGAGCTAAATAAATGGTGATGGGGAGAGGTTTTCATCATGTAAACATAATCTGCTGGAAGAAGAATAGTTTTGTTTTGTATTGTTTTGTTTTTGAGACGGAGTTTTGCTCATCGCCCAGCTGGAGTATAGTGGTGCAATCTCGGCTCACTGCAACCTCTACCTCCCAGGTTCAAGCAATTCTCCTGCCTCAGCCTCCTGAGTAGCTGGGATTACAGGCACCTGCCACCACACTCAGTTAATTTTTTGTATTTTCAGTAGAGACAGAGTTTCGCCATGTTGGGCAGGCTGGTCTCGAACTCTTGACCTCAGGTGATCCACCCGCCTCGGCCTCCCAAAGTGCTGGGATTACAGGTGTGAGCCACAACACCCGGCCGAAGGAGAATAATTTATAGAGGCTTTCCAGAAATTTTCCTTCAGAAATATTCACACACTTTGATTCAGTAATTCTACTTCCATGACTCTCTTTTAAAGAAATTATGAAAGCTATACAGAAGAATGATCAACATAGTATTATTTAAATAGGTAAAATCTGAAATTACTTAAATATTCAACAGAAGGGAAATGATTACATCATTTATGACACACCCATATGATGAAATACTGGACAAGAAAAGACTTTCATTTCTAGAAATTTCAA